TGCTGACCACGCTCCCCTGAAGTCGGCAAATGTTTCTGGGACAGCTTTCTCAAATGGACTTTTGTAAAGCATGATGTCCAAATGAACACAAATAATTCAGTCACTAAGTGGCCATATGCTGTCTGAATTGATAAAGGTTCAGCTGCTGGGGAGGGTGAGAAGGATGCAGGGCACTGTGTGATGGGTCTAACAAGCAGGGACATGGTTAATGGTTAAATAATGTCGGCAAATGTTTCTGGGACAGCTTTCTCAAATGGACTTTTGTAAAGCATGATGTCCAAATGAACACAAATAATTCAGTCACTAAGTGGCCATATGCTGTCTGAATTGATAAAGGTTCAGCTGCTGGGGAGGGTGAGAAGGATGCAGGGCACTGTGTGATGGGTCTAACAAGCAGGGACATGGTTAATGGTTAAATAATGAATGGTTAAATGGGGCACTGGTCTTGGGGTTACCTGCTGCAGGGAACAAGGCTGGCTGTGTTTCTGCAGGCCTGCCAGGCTTCTGGGAAACTGGGACATCAACTGTCTCCAGCTGATACCCATTTCTCAGGTTTAGCTGTTATGCAGCATTTGGGCAGCTGTATTCCTCCTTACCCAGAAGGGTGAGATTTAAGAAGAGGGGGGAAAAGTGTCCTGTGGGATGTGGTGATGGAGACCTGCAGTCAGGTTTGGGCTGAGACTCCAGCCTTGAGTGCTGAGAAGCTTTGCCCAGCCCTGGAAAGTGCCTGCAGCCAATGCCCATGAGGGTGATGCCAGGGCCAGCCCTTGGCTCTGCCCACAGGGTGAGATCCTCCACTTTGGGCTACACAGTGCCTGGTTTTACCAACCCAGCTGGGGCTTTGCGTTTGCATCTGCACCATGTTCAATCTTTCTTGTTGCTTTTCCAGGTGAAACAGTGAGGTTTGCTGACGCTGAACACCACACGTGGTTTGACCCCACGCTGTGGCAGGACGTGTCTCCCAGTGGAGAGCTCAAGCCAAGTGGGCACATCTTTTCTGTGGATGAGGAACGTGTCCCGTGCCGCTACGACGATGTTATCTTCCAGCCCGAAACCTCCTTCCGCGTAAACATCGACTCATCACAGCAAGTGATTCACCTCCACAGCATCTCTGTCATGGGCCGGGTAAGGTGGGGATGATGAGAAACTGTCTCGACGCCTCCTCACTACAGCCCCAAAGTAGGTCAGGAGAGGAAGGACCAGGTGGGGATGGAGGAGCTGTGTGGGGAGATAGGGCCCTCCCACGGGGCTGCAGCTTCACCAGCTGCTGCTGCTGCTGCTGCTGTGGGTGGCCTTGATGGCTTTTTTCCTCAACCGGTTTGTTATCACCTCCCTCCCTGCAGTGTGGGAGCAGAGGCTGTCTCACTATTCACAATAAAAAAAGAAGGGCCAATGTGCACAGGTCAAACCACCAGCAAACAGCATCTTCTGTGCCTCCCAGGGCTGCTCCCTTCCCAGGCACGTGTCCACGGCTGTGCTGCTCTGGGGACACCTCCCTCCTGCCCCCGACCTTAGCGTGGCCTGTGGCCCAGCCATCATTTCCCAGCTTTGCTTCAGCACTGCTCTTTAATTGATTGCAGGGATAATTATAGAAGCGCTGGCAGCCTGCTGTGCTCCAGCCTGGGAATCATGCTCACCACGAGCCCCGTCCCTCGCTGGTCTGGGGAGCAGGAGATCACAGGCACTGCAGCAATAAACACGGGCTCCTTCCAGGAGTGGGAGATGCAGCATTTCATAAGTTATTTATTGCTTTTACGGCTGTGCTGGATGAGATTTGCCGTTTCGGGGCCAGGCATTAGGGAGCTGCTCTTTGAGCAATGTGCTCAGGCAGTGCCCAGGCAGGTCTGAGCAAGGCAGCACCCCAGCAGGGTGTATCTCAGACACAGGTAGCCCCAGGGATGCAGATGCTCCTGGGTGCTCAGAGTGATGCTGGTCCTGCTGATGCCTGGGGACCACCCCGAGGCACATCATCCCCCCAGGGACCACTGCTGGCTGTCCCTCCGGGTGGAGGCTGCTGCTGAGTGATGAGAGAGAAGGAGAAGGTGCTTTTTGGCTTTGTGATCATACCGTGTTTCCTAAAAACTGACATTATAAGCTACGTCATCCCTTTGTATCCAGCCCACTCTGTGCTCTGTGTGGGGTATTTTTACCCCAGGGCTTGAGAAATCCTCCTGCTGTGCCAGGGCATTGAAACTCTTCCTGTGACAGAGGAGTGAAGAAATTACCAGTGGCTTGGCAGGACAAAGCTGGTCAGTCCAGCTCAGCCTTTGCTAATGCCAAGCTGATGGAAACACTTCTCAGACAGAAGGAAAACAGCTCAAACACAGCCTCTTCCTCCAATCAGTGAGAAACTGATAACTTGAATTCTCTGAACCAGGAGAAAGGTGAACAGCAAGAAGAAGAAAAGGCCCAGATATCTCAATCCCTTCCTGGGGACAGCACGGGGACCTGCCCTGGGATACTCAGCTGCTTTGCTGCTCTTCCCTGCACAGGAGCTGAGCACCCCAGCAGGCTGGGCTGAGTACCTGCAGGGCCCCTCTGCCCCTCTGCAGTTCCATGGCAATGGCTCTCTCCAGGTGACAGGCACTGCCTGTCCCGACAAATCCGGCTG